GCATTCGGATGAAAGTTATCGGCGTTTTAACAACAGGGAAGTCTTCCATTGTCGGTGGTGGGTTACTTTTCGGCGTGAAAAATAAATTAAAAAAATTCCCTATGATAAATAGTCAATCTTATACGCCTAGTTGTTGATGAAATTCCAGTACCTACCCGTGAAGTGGAAACGGACTTGCGCGCGAAATTGTCAAGCAATCCGCAAATCACTAGATATGCAAAGGCACGGAACAAAAAAGAAAATAATCGGGAAAAAAATGAGTAAACCCGCGGGGTGCGTTGTCCGAGGAACAATGATCGATTGTTTCTCAGATATAAGTATGGGCGTAATCGCAAAGAAAAATCGTTTCGCGCAAAGTAACAAAAGGAGAAGCGCTCGTTGGCGTCGGCGGGTCGAAATTACGTGCAGTCGGCAGCAATGGCCTGCGACTTTATGTTATGGACAGGAAGGGGCCCGCTTTCCAAAGGCAATGGTGGAAGCCGAGAGAATAAGTCGGGCTTAACCCCCTCCCGCCTTTCCGGCAGACCCTCGATGCGTCGAGGACGTGGCTCAGGGCCTCCGTCGCCCGTCAGGGCCGAGGGTGAATTGGGTCAGCGTCGTCGCCGTCGTTTCCTTCCTTCGCTTTCTTGGCCCTCTTTCATCCCTCTACGCCGAGTCCTTGGTCGGCAGCATTACGTATCGTGCGCCGTTTGCTCGCTCGTCAAAGAGGCACCCCGGTACTCGCGAATGGGCCACGAAGAGGGCGCACCCGTTGTCACGCCCCGTAAGGCTCGTGGTCGTACGTTCCCTCAGCACGCCATTTTCGATCCCGTACCGTGTACCTGCAGCGATAGTACACGCTTTACAGGCGGAATGCATCCCCGACAATGCGCGGACACGTATCGGCGTTATCGATTGTCTATGAGTACAGAGGTTTCTGCAGTTCGTTCTACCGATGCAACCTGAATCCACCGGAGGATGTACAGTGACGGGCATGAATGCCTCCTCTTCCTGCACTTGCGGTACCAGGTCCATAAGGGAGGCATCCATGTCTGCCAATGTACAGGATGGGCAGACGCTCGGGAAATTATTTTTCCTGAAAAGGAAAGGAAAGTCCTAAAAAGGACTTTTTATATATTAGTAATTTATTTAAACGTAAAGCCTAGTGTTGTTTAATACAGACTTAATTTGAATAAATCGATTTTTTTAAAGAAAATGCGTGTTTTCGTTTACCCGTTAATTTGACGAGTGCTCGTACAAAACAGGTATATAAAAAACGCCCGTAAACCTAGTGTTAAAAATGAACCGGTCAATAACGAGCAGCTTGTGTAGGGAAATTTTTAAAGGAGAGTTCCTTGAGAGTTGGCATCGGCAAAATTCAAACTTTATTATAACAACATATATGGACGTGTAGCGAAGGGATCAGCGATGGATGCGGCGAGTCTCTAAGAACTCCGTTTATCGAATGCCCCGATTCCCTTGTCCTCTCTGTAGGAGGTGAAATTAACGAAGGCGAATCTACTATTGACAAGTCTATATTTTGGTAGATTCACAGATTATTGAACGTTAAAAATTATATATGTAAGCCTCAAGGAGACGTAGAGAAATTGGTCCAACTGTTCCCTTCTATGATTCTCGACCAAGTGCCGTCCCGTCCACTGTTCGCAGGGACCGTCTTGGTCTAGCCGTATCAATTGTTTAGGCCATGCTCATATCTTGTAAACATGCTCGCTTTTCCTTGCCCATGATTCTGGGAATAGGTCCGTCCATCAACCTCCGATAATTTGCCTTGCCTCTTCGAAATATTTCCTTCATTTCGAACTCTGGTCCTCCGTCGTCTCTCAAGGGCTGGGTCATCCTCGCCCTCGCGTTGTTTACATCTTCTCAAGACCTGGATGGGGTGACGTGGTCCAGAGGAAAAGGAATGTGCCTTCGCTTGGATAACGCAAAGCGATATCACAATTGTCAAGAGGCGCTCTAGTAAACAGTTTCTCGGAAAACCCTTGAAACCAGAAACCATGAGAACCTATGAAGGAAATATTTCGAAGAGGCAAGGCAAAATGATCGGAGGTCCATGGGCGGACCTATTCCCAGAATCATGGGCAAGGAAAGGCGAGCATGTTTAGAAGATATAAGCATGGCCTAAACAATTGATACGGCTAGACCAAGACGGTCCCTGCGAACAGTGGACGGAACGGCACTTGGTCGAGGATCGCAGAACGGAACGCACGAATCTATTCTATATACGTCTTCTTTAACAATAAGTCAAATAACTATACCTGTGAATCTACGGAAAATATAGACTTGTCAATAGTAGATTCGCCTTCGGTAATTTCCCCTCCTACACCTAGAACTAAGAAATATCCCCAACATTTTTACGATAGCATTTTCGATGACATTTTGGGTATTTAAAGTGAAGTGAAACACGTCGAGGAACTTGATCGACGTCGATAAAGAAGATTTTTCTAAATGCCTATATTGCCGACGTTCATTTTTACATTGACAGCTGTGTCGAATTATATTGGATATTGTACCGAATGGCATACTCCACCTGTCGTTTTCGTACAATCAATATCAAGAAATCGAAGTAAAACTCCAGAAATCCTCTGGATTCATGCTTTCTGGGGCCGTAATTGACTGCAGAGGGACCCCCTGCGCCATCTGTGATTTCGAGGTCAATTAAATGTTCACTCCGAGACCTCGTATTCCCATCGTTTTAGTATAGAAGCGCATACAACACTTTCTTCGCCCTTATCCCGTTCAAATGCGAGTTTATCGACTACCAGAGTGTTCTAAATTGTCGTAAAATTGTCCTGACCCTTTCGTTTCTCATATCAGAGCCTTCGAGAATTGTATATCGATCGAAATATGAGAGCTCGACGCCATTTTGGTTCTGGTCTGAGCTAAGTTAATAAATTTTGTCCAAAAATCCAAATTTTGAATATGTCAGGACAATTCTTAGATGATCAGGAGTTATGTGACAAAGTTTCGAACAGTTTGGTCTAATACCCTTAAAAAAAAAGTGTTGTATTCGAATCGACTGATTTGAAGGGGGTTTCACTTCACCTTAAATAATAAAAATTGGGTAACTGGTTCCGGAGCATCTCCGAAGTATTTTAGGTGCTCTTCAACGAGAGCGTCGAAACTAACTCGCGGAGAGTTCTTTGTCGAATAGGCCCAAGGCCGCGGAAAGTTCACAAACAGGCTAGTCGTTATCGGCGGTAATTTCGTAAATATTGTGTCAATCGCCAACGACGTAATTTTTCCCCCTCCCGTGAGTCATTCCATAATAGCCGGGCGAAGGAGAGAGACGGACGAACGGCGAGGAGAGCGACCGAGAGCGCCCGTGCCGCCTTGCTCGCGCTCGGCATTGGATGCAATATCCGGCCTCGTGCATTTCCGTCGACTCTCGGCCGTCTCCGGCCGCGCTGCGGCGTTCCGACAAGTAGTCACCCTGCCCAGGGCCACGAGGGAGCGAGAGGGAGGGACACGGGACGCGACGGAGGAACGAAGACAGCCCGTGGCAGCAGGCTTCCGGTGAAACGCTTTGTCGTTTCGACTGACTCGACTCAGGAGACACCGTCCGAGAAACCGACGGAGAGAAAGGGAGAGACGGAGAGATACCGCGAAGCTATAGGTATCCGCGCGTGTCGGATGCTCGCGCGTGTTCGAGGCAAGGTGGTCCAACCAGATCCCGTCGAAACAGGTGCACGAGCGAAACCACCGTCCGCCTGTCGGGGCGAGTCACTCTTCGTGGCGTGTGCCGAGCCTCTGGGCTAACGATACGCCGAATTTACTCTCCCTTCCACGACCTCCCGACTCCGGTCGGTCTCTCTCTCTCTCTCTCTCTCTTTCTTTGTCTCCCGCGCCGGTAGCCGGCGTCCTTTCTTCGCACGTTTCGCACGTAATCGCCTCCGTCCCGTGGCGAGCATCCCCGCCGTACGTGCCTCCGGGTCGGGATCCGCGTTATCGACCGATCCTCCCGCGCCCGGTCGGTAAGCTAGGACTCGCAACGTCGTCGCAATGGCTGCGCTTGCATGCGCGGCGAGAGCGCCCTCGGGGAGGGGGAAGCGAGGAGCGAACGTGACGCTAGAAAGAGCGAAAGAAGGACGGACGGAGGGAGAACGCTCCCGCGTTAGAAAGAACGAATGACAGAGAGGGAGAGCCGCGCGAAAAAGGGAGAGAGGAGAAAATCCCGGAGTGGGGCGATATAACAAAGCCATCGGGTACGCAGGTGAACTCGCCGTCTGGCCGGCAGGCCGCTTGCGTTCACGAACGCAACGAATGGCGCGCACACACTGTGCGCGCGGGCCAACCGACACGGGGCAACGATGGGGTTCGTAGAGCTCGCCGGGCCTGCCGGCCTGCCGGCCTCAGTCAAGCGAGGCGCGTCTCTGTGAATAAACGCTACCGCGGCCCGCTCCTCTCTCCCTTTCTCTCGGGTCCTCTAGTTCCGAGCGCGCGACCCGCGACCCTGCTCGAGCGCTGCGCTCCTTTGTTCCGCGCATCCGAGCGCGCTCTGGCCTATCTCCAGTCGGCGCCTCCCCGTCCGCGCCTCGGGGCGAATCGCGTTCGAATTTAGCGCGCCGGCCGCGTCGCGCGAGTCGCGCGAGGTCCGCTCCCGCGGCAGGTTCGCCCGACCGTGGGTGCCGAGAGCGAGACTATCCGGTGCGCGCGAAACGCTAGCGCGGAATGCCGGAACGGCGGAACGACCGGGCCGCGAGCGGAACTTTCTGCGTACGTGACGCGCGCGCAATGTGGGACGCGTGACAGACGCGCCGCGTCGCATCTCCGCGCAGCGAGTGCGCGTGCCACCGCGTCACCACGCTGCCACCATGTATACCAAGTTCGAGGTGCTCCAGGGCATCGTCAGCTACCTTCTCGTATCAGGTGCGAAACAAACTCCTTCCTGGGTTTACGTCCGTTTCCGGCCCCTTCCCGCCTCTTCCCGCCCGACGCGCGGGGGAATCAGGAAACAAGCATGTCGGAAGCGGGACGCACCGTTGCGATTGAGTCCCGATTACGAAAAAGGGGAAAACGCCGCGCGAGCGGCTCCGTTTACTCGTCGAAGACGCGGTCGACGCCGATTTATCTTTCTCGTGAGTCTTGCCCGTACTTGAATGATTTAAAGTTATGGTAAATCATTCTTGTACCTTTGTGCCGGGAAGAAGGAGCTAACGGAATGATATATTGGATCGATAAACGCATATCGGAGAAAGAATCTGACGTGGCGCGATAGCGTGTCCGATTTAAAAGTGTGGATTTACACGATGCGTCAGTCATGTTACATCATCGGAATGAAACGGCATCCCGCGTTTAATGCACGCCGTTTCGTCGTATCCAAGAGCTAAAGGCTAACATCGATATGCTTATTCATGAATATTGAGATATTTCTGTACCTCAAATTGACCCATCAATGTTCCAATATTTGCAACGGTAATTACTGCTATATTGTAGGAACGGGTAGCACGGAAGCATGGATTATGAAGAAAGATTTTTTTGTATGGTTTGTGTGGTTAACGGTCCCCGTTGATATCATTATTTACTCCGTTTCACCTTTGGAGAAATCACCGTTGAGTCGATCCGTTAAACAAGGTAGCAATAACTTTGACAAAATACTTGTTGCGTGTATTAATATATTCGCGACCGCTGACGTGAATTCACGTCTTTTCAAGTTCTATTCCTGGTTGCCGCAGACGTGAATTCACGTCATTTCAAATTCTATTCCTGATTGCCGCTGACGTGAATCACGTCCATAACGATACACGATACAAGTTTGCGTCAACTAGTTTCAGAATTTCATTATTTTCGCCGGTACTCGGTATTTGAAACGGAAAAAAAATTCACGGTCGCGAATGTGTTAATCTACCCCGAGAAGGAACGATACGCCTATGCGTGCCTACATTATGCTATTTACTCCGCGTTTCAATCGCAGCACTGTAAAGAGTTTAGAATTACGGCATGTTCAGCAGATTCTCAAATGCGGCCCAAACAGAAAACGCGGATGATTTGTGTAAGATAGAAGGAAAGAAAGGAATTGCGTCGCGCGAACGTGAAAACGAGAGAGAGGAGAACGATTACCGATCAAAAGGAAAAAGCATTACTGTTGATCATCTGCAGATGCGCCTATGCGTGCCTACATTATGCTATTTACTCTGCGTTTCAGTCACAGCACTGTAAAGAGTTTAGAATTACGGCATGTTCAGCAGATTCTCAAATGCGGCCCAAACAGAAAACGCGGATGATTTGTGTAAGATAGAAGGAAAGAAAGGAATTGCGTCGCGCGAACGTGAAAACGAGAGAGAGGAGAACGATCACCGATCAAATGGAGAAAGCCGAATCAATGGAAAAAAGCATTACTGTTGATCATCTTCGTTAACTATTTTTTTTTACTCCGTTTTGCCCCGAAGAAAGTGGAAACATAAATACGTTTCCATTCAATGTAAATGGACATGAAGAGATTACAAATACTGTTTAATATTTATCAATGTTTATTTTGGTTTTGTTTTGTCCACGTGGGCAAATTTTATAGAGAAGTGAGCATTTAAACAAAGTCCTGATTAGAGTGCATCGTACTTAATGTCAAAGATGAATTGAAATGACAATTTTCTTGAATGATCACGTCAAATCATAATGACGTCTTAATTTTTCCTTAATGCTTATTCGTTATACATTAGATCGTTATTAACAGGACAAAAAGGGTTATAAACAAATTCTTTTCTTTTTAATACAATGTATCTTGTGACGTCGAAGCCAAAGCTGTATTTAATGCGTAACATTTACTTTCGTTGCAACTCATGTCGGTTTGAAAAACGATCATTCATTTTTGCAATTAGATACATGCAAAGTTAGGTCTAACTCGAGCGGCTTGGAGTATCGTAAAACGCTTACATAGTAAAATATATGTAAAGGGTGATAACACGAAAATTTCACGCAGTAATATAACACGGGAGACTTCTCATCGAATGAAATTTAAAGCCTCATATTTTTCACGCTCACCGTTCACGCTCTCGAGCAGTCGTATTTTGTTATTAAAATTGATAAATAAATCCAATTTAATTAAAATAATTATTCTTTAAGATTTGATTGACCGTTTTTGATAAATACTACGTGAAACAATAATCACAACTCATTCTCCGTGCGTTAAACGTCGCTTATACCCTTTTCCAGACTTTATTATAATAAGTTCTTATTTAAACAGTGGGCAACTATCAAAATGATTAACACTAATTAGACCATTGTGCAAGTCCGGGAGTCATGGCCAACTATTACTAACTCGAGTTATTCTCTATGGACAATCATTGCGAATTGGTAATAATGTAGTATTTGACGACTTCGTTTTAGAATCAAATGAATAACGTTAATATTTTGTTTGGCATAATTACATGCGCTATACAATGTTGAAGCGTCAGTGAAATTACAGTAACAACGTAATAGATTTTAGTATCAAAGTAAAAATTAAATTGTGTAAGTAATACACGGTATATTTAATAAGTAATTATTTCACTGAAAATGTATGAGCTTTCGGATGCCGCTTATCGGATGACGCCGATCCCCTTAAGGTGATGTGAAAGTGGCATCGAAGAGGTTTTGTTTATAAAACTGTTCTCCCAACTCGATTTACCGAATAGTCCTCAAACTCATGAAATTTCAATTCTTTTCAAATTTGTTTATAGGCATTTTAAAAATAGTTTATAAGAAATGAAACTTCACGAGTTTCAGGACCTACCTTAGGGTCTCCATATTCACGTTTTAAAGTATGAAACGATTTGAGCCACCCAGGTCGTAGAAAAGTTTTATGAACGATTGAGCTTTCCGATGTCACTTTCACATCCCCTTAAAACGAGCGACGCCGGTATCTCCCTCTTTTCCGAGCGGTTAACTCTCGAATCTTATTGGCCATATCGGCACTCTTAGGCTTACCCCAAGCTCTGTTTGGCTGTCTTCTCGGCATTATTCCGCAATTCTCGGACTGTGCGTACGCGCTTATTACCGCATTGCCACGACACACGTTGGGTTCTGTCCCGCTCTTCATTGTTTACACAACAGAAGCGTGCGCGCGCCGCCGCATTCGAAGAAGCTAATAGGATGACCGTTCATCTCTTGGAGCCTCGACGCGCTTGTCAGTACATATCCTGCGTATCGCGAGCTTGCACCGGTTTAGAAGAAAGGACCTTCTGCGGTGTATTTCCCTCGGGAGATTAGGGGCACGGATTCACGATCAAATTTTACGGCCACCCGTTTGAGGGTAGCCACCCCCGTAACGCGGACGCTGCTCCGATCGGTTCCCCGGAAGGGCGTCTCTGATGACTTCATGATTCATGATTTGATTTTATGGCCATGAGTCACGCGGAGACAATTTACGAAAGAGCAGTAACTACTTCTCTGACGCGTGCGAGTTAAGGGAGATTAACCGGTTCGCGGGCGTAATTTTTCGGTATCGTATCTCCGGTTTAAATCACTCCGACTCGCATTTATCTAATTGCAGGAGATCGCAAGTGGAGTGAAAAATAAATTTCGTGGGAGTGCTTGTCACGTTTGAATGTATTTTGAAGTTTATCTTGAATCCCTTGTAAGTATGCAAACGTATGTACTAATTAATGAAACAGAATTGTCAGGAAAATGCGGTTGTCATTTACTGTCACATTACTGTCAATACCCAGGCAACCCATGAAGTGGAATATACGTACATTAATCGTCTAAATTAGGTCTATACGTATAGCAATTGTATATCAACTATCATTCACCTAAAAAAATATATGTCTATTGTAGATGAAAACTATGTATTCACTGTTGATCTACGAATATTTATGTTTTCATAAGTTCGAAAAATATTTATTCCTTCACAGGCTTTGGTATAGCATCATTGTTAGCATTCCTGCTTCCTACCCGTAAATTCCAGGTGCAAATCCCGACAATTGCAAACAAATTTGTCTGTGTCAAAAAAAGCAGAATTTGTCTGCATTGCTGTACTGAACAAGTTCTCAAACAGACTCCGCTCAAAAAGTGTTATGAATTTCATTTTTTTTTTTTACAAATACATATGAATATCTAGGTTAACCATCTATTGTAGGTATCTACGGTGCGCGCGCGGGTGTGTGTGTGTGTGTGTGTGTGTTACATCTCATGTCTGGACATCTAGACTTTGAGAGTATCTAAAACAGAGTCCATAGATATCTATATATATCTTACATACGTTCAATAAACATTTATATGCGATTAATTTACTGATATTCCACGTTTTGTGGTGCTTGGGAATGGATAAAATTTCTGGATTTTGTGTCAATTTAACTGCAACAAATTATAAAAAATTACTCGCACACATTATAGCACACTAAAAATAAGCAATACCTTCCCGGTTCTCTTTTCGTCGTGTAACTTAATATTAATTTTAATTTAAATATAGGGAGCATAAACAACATAAAGCATGGAAAAATCTTTTACGTACATAGTCAGTCCATAATGTTGCCAAATGTTTTAAATGACTGCTTCTTAGTAATAGGAATTATAAAACATACAACGTAGTTATTCTTTTAAATAGCATCCTTATACAACCTCGAATGTCGTTTAGCATATCGCAAGAAGAAGTCATTTCACGGTGCGATTTGTACCGGTTTGTAAAATTATAAAAACTGTAAAAACTAAACTCGGACTGAATAATCAATAGTTGTGATTGCGAATAGTGTCAGAAAAAGGGAGCGGAAAATTACCATGTCGATGTCAACGTGAATTTGCTGCCCAGATCAAGTGACTATTTGGTTTTCATAAAATACTTGTTAAGTTACGTTGCGATATTATCATTTGAAATCACTGCAAATGAAAATTCTAAAGAGAACTGGAATATATTTTTTATATTTAATATTCATATATTTTCACTCGGTCTTAACTATTAGTATTTCGTAACATTGAGTTTAACAACTGTTTTAGTCATTTTTAGGCCTTGAAGAGTATCGTCGTGTTCGCAATTAAACAACGATATCTTGTACCATCAATTCGTGAAACAAGTACTCTCCATAACGCGAGTATAATAACACACAGCTTAATAATGTTTTCAAAGTGTACCGTCGAGTACGGTTATCGCATTCATCGTTTCCCCGTGATAACGCGGCCAAGAGTGTCGTTATTGATTACTTCTAATCTGCTGTGAGATTATTAATTAAAAATCCGTCCCACCGAGCGTAATAATAAATCGGAAGTCGCATGTACTGCACGTGACGTTGGATTTGCGTTTCTCCGTTGCGCCGCAAAAGATTAATTGTATCGAGCGCATTACGAGAGGAACGTTAATGCATTCGATATAAAGAAATCGAACGAAAGTCATTTCATATTTCGAGCACTTTTTTTTAAGGTTTAATACTAGTTTTATTCCGGTGACTACATTTTTTTTTTTATATCTACCCCTAACGAATTAACGTTTTAAGTAGAGCGAACTTCCTACTGGAGTTCACATGCGAGTATTGATTTGTATTTTAGTCGTGGATCAATACCCGTTTCACGTTTCCTCGTTATTGTCGCGTACATGCGACTGAGGAGACACAACTTAAGGATGTAAACTACCACCCTAAGTAGATTCATGGTCTCACCGGGGTAGTACATATAACACGCCCCCATCAGGATGACCTTGTATCGATATCGTTAATTTCTTGAAAATTGATCAGACGGAAAATTTCTCAATAACTCGAGAATTTTTTGTGTTAATAAAAAGATCCTACGTTGTGTATATTTCAAGTACTTCATACCACCGAAGTAGTTAAATACACGAGGTGTCCACGGAACACTTTGACAGGATGAAAACTCTGAACAATAAATCATCTCGTAGTATTATTAGATGCGATTAATATACCTATTATCGATAAATAAAATCATTTGAGTGAATCAACTGTCGCTGTTGACGAAAGTTCCCTCTTATTATAAATGATTTCGTAAACGCAACATCGTTTTGTGTCCTGCCGAGGCCTCGATTATCCACCTTACTCGGATCCCTGTTAAGGTGATGTGAAACACATCGAGGAACTTGGTCAACGTCGATAAAGAAGATTTTTCTAAATGCCTATATTGTCGACGTCCGTTTTTATATTGACAGCTGTGTCGAATTATATTGGGTATTGTACCAAATGACATACTCCACCTGTCGTTTTCGTACAATAATTATAAAGAAATCGAAGTAAAACTCCAGAAATCCTCTGGACTCGTGCTTTCTGGGGCCCTAATTGATTGCAGAGGGACCCCCTGCGCCATCTGTGATTTCCAGGTCAATTAAATTTTCACTCCGAGACCTCGTATTCCCATCGTTTTAGCATAGAAGCGCATACAACACTTTTTTTGCCTTTATCGCGTTCAAATGCGAGTTTATCAATTACCAGAGTGTTCTAGATTGTCTTAAAATTGTCCTGACCCTTTCGTTTCTCATATCAGAGCCTTCGAGAATTGTATATGGATCGAAATATGAGAGCTCGACGCCATTTTGGTTTTGGACTGGGCTAAGTTAAAAAATTTGTTCGTAAAGTCCAAATTTTGAATGTGTCAGGACAATTCTTAGATGATCAGGAGTGACGTGTCAAAGTTTCGGACAGTTTAGTCTAATACCCTTAAAAAAAAGTGTTGTATTCGAATCGACTGATTTGAAGGGGGTTTCACTTCACCTTAAGCCGGTTTAATCGAGGTCCTACTGTATCGGTTTAATCAGGGACGCTACTTAAGACCGCTATGCAGCCACCCCGAAGGCGGAGTCTAAACTCAGCGTGCTCACATCCATTTACATGTCGTTCGCGGATCAATATCCGTCTACGTTTCCCCGTTACGGCTGCGAGTGTGACCGAAATATTTCCAATCGATTCTCGACTCGCCCACCAAATCGTGCCCCGATTATGCCAACGGATTACGAGGGGGACGATCTCTTGGCAGGGGCTACGGGGGAGGGTCGGGATTATCGATCGATAACCATTATCCAAGAACAATCACACTAATCACTTTCTTTTTGGTCTGTTACAGAACGAGAGAGGCACACCGCCAACAGGCTGTCCACGTAAGTACCTTTCGCGATCGGGCTGGGATCCCGAATTCGAGTTTTCCTTCCCTCTCTTCCCGTTTCCCTCCTCAATTTCCTCCGCTTTGTGCCGTTCCACCGAGCTAGGGAAATCCATCTCTCCCCTAGGTCGGCTCGCGTGGATGCTCGATAGGTCGCCAAAGGGGCAATTAATTGTTTATTTACTCGAACCAAACTAACCAGATAATACCTTAGCATCGATCCTTGCACTTGGTTGTCTCCTATCCCTTTTCCTGGATCCTGGGGAATTTGTTAGCGATCGTTAGAGAAAAGAAAAGGCTGGAAGTTAGGGGAGACCGGGGCAAGTTGACCGACTTTTTTGATGTTTTATTGTGAGCGAGGTGATGAGAATTTTTTAACATATTATAAAGCGAAATGATGGGCATACGTTCAGGCACAATAATTGCATACAATTGAAAATAATAAGTTGCAAGTTTAAAAACATTGTCTTTATTAACAGGAACTAAATATACATTTATAAATACGCAACAATTAACTTTTTAGACATAAGAGTATATATTTGCCGTGCTTTAACTTTCTTTTACGACTTAATGACTTGCTTAAGCAAAATAAAATGTTCTTACTTTAATTAGTACTTGTTAAAATTACAACTGTGTCGGAAGTGTTAAACGGGTACTAATCAGAAATTTATAGGAGACCTGACTCACAAAAAATGCACAAGAAAGACGACTATACTTTTGCTCACATACGTGGTTCCGATGACGATACAATAATAAAAAATTCAAAATGAATGTCTGTAGAATTTAAATAATTCTACAAACATCCCGTTATTAAAAATGCATTGTAAAGTATAAAATAGTTTCTACCTATATGACTAAACATAGAAGCATGGAGTATTTATCATAAAATTTAACTTTTTTTTCGGGCGATTATTTTGACAGATACCAACATTTTATATAAACTTTACCGATTACAATATTAACGGGATATTATAAGCACAGCGATACAAAGCTAAATAAATGCTCTTTTCATATGCCATATTTAAAAAATGATGGAAAGCAATATATTATTTTTAAAAAGAAAAAAAGAGAAACTGAAAAAATTTACTTCCCATCATAGTTTTTGTATTTTATTTTTTTATAATTAAACGATGCTACAATAAGTTATGTTAAGCACCGACAAAAGTGTGGGATACAATTAGGAATGGGTGATAGAATTAAGAATGATATTAAGTAAAAAAAACAAAACTTTATTAAACATTTATTACGTGGACAGCTTGCCCTACCGAGAAATCGGGACCTCCTTGTGATGTACTTGTATTTCCAAGAAATACGTCAGTATCATATCGTGACGGCTAAACGCTTTTCTCGATTGTAATTAATGCAAGAACTGAGCGATTCTTTCCCGCGTTGGCACAGAAAAGATGCACGGCACAAATCTCTCGTAAGGCGATCTGGGGTACACTTAGGACATTTGTAAATTCGAAATACTTTTTATTTATTAAAAAAAAAAAAACTGCAGCGGGTTCTGTGAACTGTGGTAATGCAATGTACAGAATGGTGACAAATATAAAGCTCTACGAAACGTATGAACTGCGATGGGCAATAATTTTGTGTAATAAATATTGTCATCTAGTTGCGAAGTTTCTAAGCTTAATTAATTTTTATTACGTAGGTAGTATTAGCTTGCGCGGATATAATTTCTGTCGAAATGCAAGTACATCCGTTCCGTGTTATCGCACGTTATTCAGTCATTTTTACATGAAAATCCTCTCCGTGAGGTCCTTGAGAAATCTGTGAGAAGTAACCAGCGCTGATTATCCACAGGTTACTCGTCGCGGCTGAGAGGTCGCGTCGGGTTTAATTGCCGGAAATCATTTTTGCCCCTTACGAGATCGATCTTTCATCATCGGCTCTGAATTGCCGATCGAGGGTTTCGTTTTTTTGGTCCTTTTCTAGTTCTTCTCGTTGCCGCTCGAAGCTTTTTCTCGGGGTTAGACGAACTTTAACCGTACGGAATAAGGTAAACGCTACCGGTCGGACTCGAGAAGAGATTCAGAATTCTCCATTTCATACGACAATAATGAACCGCTTATGCCGTTTTAAACAACGGAAACGAAACGCCTTATCGTTTTCTGCGCGAGGCTGAGGGAAAACACGAACACCGTTAACATAATACTATATGAACGACCGCAAACCGCCTCTTTCATGGTTAAGCACGGGGAATCGAGAGGTTGAATAACCTTGAAATTGCGCTGTAGAAATATTTAAAATTTAACAAGGTAGAGGGGGTATACTTTAGTTTATCCAGATAAAAACATTGGCCTTAGTGTAACTTAGTTTGCTGCTGTATTTTACTGCAGCAGGACAATTTTAACTGTAACAGATACATCGATGCGATTTGAAAAATGAGTACTGACATGTACCTATTTACTACTAATTAGAATACTGATGCCATAACTTGCACCGTAAGGCGAACAATGTTCGGAAGTACCTTGTTATTTTATTTTCCGTTTATTTTGTTGACCTACCTAAATTCGCCATACTTGCATTAGACGTGAAAGTGCGAAGTGAAATTCTGTGCCGGATGCAGTTGACTCGGATATAAGTGGACGCATTTTTTTCTTTCGTGCTTCATCCTTATTTTTACGGTCCGTTAGCAGCTTAAGATAGCTCCTTTTACGACGAGAACTGTATTCGATTTCAATTCTTTTCTCCGTGATAGCACAAAACGGAAGATTTTGTACAGTTGTTGCTGCGTGACATTCCATGTTATGCATTTTGTAGTGATATAGGTAGTCGACTTGCGTCGCCGAACTTGCCCTCCGGCTTTCACGATTTGGAATTCATTTTCTTCTGCAATTGTTTGGGTGTTTTTTTTTCTGTCCACCTCATAAGTTGAAATCAAATCGGTTCTTCGATCAGAAATCTTCAACTTCGATGGTTCCGGTTATGGGGAAATCGCGCGTTCTATCAACATTTTTGTCCGATTGCTTTGGGACCCTATGTGGGGTTCCTAATTAAATTATACAAAAAATACGAAGTAGCCAACGCCGGGGTTAATAGTTTGTTAACTAAAAGTTAGCGAGAAATAACTTAATTGCATTTTAAGTAAAATGAGTAAAATACAAGATCCGAGGCATTGGATAAAAAATTATTTCCTGGCCGCAATGTTATGGTTTCCAACGGGAATTTTAGCACAAGTTATGAATTGTGTTACGAATTGTGTGAAATTTTGAACTTCGATGGTTCCGGTTATGGGGAAATCGCGCGTTCTATCAACATTTTTGTCCGATTGCTTTGGGACCCTATGTGAGGTTCCTAATTAAATTATACAAAAAATACGAAGTAGCCAACGCTGGGGTTAATAGTTTGTTAACTAAAAGTTAGCGAGAAATAACTTAATCGCATTTTAAGTAAAATGAGTAAAATACAAGATCCGAGGCATTGGATAAAATATTATTTCCTGGCCGCAATGTTATGGTTTCCAACGGGAATTTTAGCACAGGTTACGAATTGTTTCATATTCTAAAATTCACTGATACAAAACATCGAATTTTGACGTGTGCCTTGATTTTTAACGTCAATAACAGCGAAGAGATATACTATTTTATGCTAATGTAGGCTGTGAGAGGAAATGAATTAACGTGTTATTAATCATATCAATCATGAAATAAGGAAACGGCAATGACGAACGAGACATAAATTTACGTATAATTTAGTCGACGACATGTACGTCGTTCCCACGGCAATGAGAGTTATCAAGTTACCATTAATTTCGCGCATACCAACCCGCCTAATCTGCATTAATATTTGAAGAACCCCTTTGCTTTGCATTCTATTAAGCAAATCAACCGTTTGCTCCCAATATATTTATAACCCCATACTGGTAATCGGCGAACTAGTTTATTAAATGTTACTGACGCTTATATGCATTTGAATCTTTTACTTAACATAATTCTCTTAAAAATGCTCTCAATAATTTGCGGTTAAAGCAGTTTAAACATTTCCCAAGTGTACAAGTCTCTGGCACCAGAAGTTTGCCGTTCATGCCGCGAACGTTTCACGGCGAAGGGGTTGACTCGTACTTCCCAAAAGTTGAACTTTCCTTTAATCTTGAAAAAAGAAAAGAAAAAGAAGGAAATATAACGTTACAAGAAACGAGAAAGAAATGAAAATGTCTTCTAAGCGAAACTCGAGAAACAAATCGAGGAATTCAGCCGTGTTCATCAATTTCTGAAAGTGGAAGTCCATTATCGAAAGTCACGCTTTGTGCTTCATCCTTTATCTACAACTACCTTTTGCAGGGCTTGCTCGAATGATCTCCTGAGTCGATAAAATAAATTCTAGGACGATAAAAAGTCTAGATGTAATTTGGCCCTCCCCACGGGACTTTACACGATCCCGTCTAGTTGATATATATAAAGCTGGAATTGCCACTTAACACAATTCAATAAAATTTGTTGCAAAATTTATTGCTAATTTATTGCTATTTTATTGCACAAGTAACAAATTATTTGCTCTTATACTTTTCCGAAAAATGGTGGCGATGTCAGCTTTATATAAAATTATATATATAAAGAAAAAAAATAAACTGCCACAATAAAAAACAATTATTAAGTATATGTTCATCGATGAATTATATACCAGAATTTATTGCTAATTAATTGCTCGCAGAAAAATCAAATTTAAATTTTTTTGCTCACCCTTAACGGGATGAATCGCCACCCCTAGGGATGATCGCAGGACAGAAATATGGAATACATGGAAGAATCGAACTATTTCTTCACGTGGGAATTAATTGCTAATTAATTGCTCTGAGAAGAACATAATTTCGAATTTTTTGCACAACCCCTAAGGTGATAGACTAGCCGTGTCTATGTCACCCCAGCATGGCCACATAAAAAATGGAAGAATCGAACTATTTGTTCACGTGGGAATTAATCACTAATTAATGTAGGTTTGAAAATTGTATATTTACGAAGATATTGGTTCTTCTCGGAGCAATTAATTAGCAAT